CCCATAAGCAAGACCTGAGCACAACAGCAACTTGTGATTCCCAGCAGCTGAGATGCAGTACAGAGCTAGCCTTGATAGCTGCAATGCTCACACACATTTCCAAGCCTACAAACTTGACTTTTCAAAATCCAAAGCGGGGGCTCTCTCGGGATGCTGAACCAGCGTTCAGATTCTGCGCTTGCATGGTGTGTGAGAGCAACGCGCACACAGCTGATTCGTAGAAGTAAATGCGCCTCTACTCTCGCTCTTTGTCCAAGTATCACCCACATTTCAGAAAAGAATAGATTTCTCTCCCCTCCCTCTCTGAAAATTATCAGCACAAGTGGACACACTCAAATGAAGCCTCAGCTGAATCTCCTGTGATTATTGATGCTGCTGCAAGGCAGAGGGAGAATTTTCAGCTGGTTCCCAGCCAGCACCACAAGGGGAGACAGGGACAAGTGTCACTTGTTCTGGAACACAGAAGTGTCCTGGAGAGAAGCAAAGAGGGAAATGGGAGTTGTCCATCATCCTCTGAATGAAGTCATTCTGCTTCCACACAGACTGAATTGGGGGGGGGGGACTCAGTCCCTTTCCAGAGGAAGCCGGCAGCCTCTCAGCTGACCCTGCACGAACTGAAATGAAATAATTACAGGCCCTGGTCTAAATCCAAATTAGATTAGATGTGAAGCAAACCAGGCCTCAGAGGAAGGCCATCTAAACATAGCCTTTCCGATTTGTCAGACATGATATCCAGTGCTTGCGCTATCCAGTGCTTGCGCTATCATTGTACATGATGTGTTGCTGGCTGCACTTTACCGCTAGCTGAAAACCAGTGGGAGTGTGAAGCAACAGGTTAAAGTGTTGTTCTATTTTAATACATACACACACCCCTCTCAATAACCTAGACTCTATTTTACTAATTGGGGTTCCAGGAGCTGATGAAATCTGGACCTTTCTCAAAAGAAACACAGTGTTCCCTATTTCCTCCTGCTTAATGCAGGATCTATAATGCAAGATGCAATTACGGCTGGGGTTAAGGAGCCATTTCAGTCTCAGGGCCACATTCTCTTCTTTGAAACCTTCTGAGGGCCACATGCCAGTGGTGGGAGGGTCCAGAGGCAAACCGGGTGCAGCAATTTATGTAGTTTTTGTTACCTCTGTACAGTGAGCTACTTTCTACACACAACTCTCTCCTCCGTTCAGGCACACACAAGGCAATATCAGAGTTGGAAGGACACATTCCAGCCAAGCAAAGCACTCCAAGTTGGCAGAGTCGTGTGAGAGTCAGGTGGCCGTGGTTTCAGGGAAAAGAGCCTTGTGAGCCAAACTGGGACCTCCGTTGGGCCAGATTTTGTCCTGCAGGCTGGACGTTCTCCACTCCTGCCGTAAATGCACATCATTCCCTCCCTTCCAAAAACAGGAGACAAACAACCCAAATTGTGCGTGAGCAAAAAAAAAGCAGGCAATTAAGCACCCATGAAATTCTGAACTGAATGGCTGGAAAGTTTTTTTTAACTCCTTATATAAACTCAAGCTTAGTGTGCCAAACTGACACAGTCCTCTTGCCCTCACCATGTGCTGATGGTTCTGTATGTGCGTTTGGGAGGCAGACGACGTCGCTCTCCATGCTCGATCCCGCTCCTTCCTTCGTTCAACCGTCAGGGTATAAATGTTTAGCCCCCGGTGGTACTTCACACAGTACTCCCCGGAATGCACTGTGTGCGACAAGGCGCTCCAGGAATCTGGTTCGCTGGCTCCTTCTCTGAAATGACAAACAGCACCAAAGGTTAAACCCACAAACTCGAGTTAATGCATGACAAAGTTGGCCAACGGCTATATGCTGCAGCCCAAACTAGCTTACTAATGATACAATCAAAGCATATCTCTCCAGCTCCTTCCAAGCCCACTCAGGAATCATCAGAAATGCTCTCTTGAGGCGTATTATCCAAAGACAGTATAGATTACTCTATAAAAATAATCTGCTAAGTGTGGTGCACAGAGCATTTGAACAGGGTGACTAAGGTTCAAAATCCTACCTGTCTTTGATTGAGCTGGAGTGTGATGATGGAATACCCTATGAATCTTCTGCCTGCTCAATTCCTTTTGTAAACTGCTTTCAAGTTTTCATTACAACCATACGATATTGTCAAACAAAACAAATAAATACCGTATTTTCGGAACTATTGGACGCACCGGTCCATAGGACGCACCTAGATTTGGGGGGGGGGGGAATAAAGGCAAAAAAATTTTATTCCCCCCCCCCGCCAGGCGCGGGGCTGGGGCGGGGAAGCCCGAGCTTCCCCCTCCCCCAGAACGGGACCCAGAGCCATGCCGAAGCTGCGCGCAGCTTTGGCATCGCTCTGGGAGCTTGCGGGGGTGGGGGAGGAGGAAGCCTTCCGCCAGCCTCCAAACCATGTCGGGAGACAGCGGGATGGCGGCTGCCGCCTCTCCCGCTGTCCCCCGAGTTTGCGGGGCTGGGCCAGCCTTCTAACCAAGTCGGGACAGCGGGAAGGGCGCGCTGCGCCCCTGCCGCTGTCTCCCGAGTTTGCGGGGCTGGCGACGGGAGGAGCAGGCTTCTCCCCCCGCCAGCCTTCTAGACAAGTCGGGGGACAGCGGCAAAGGCGCGCTGCGCCTCTCCCGCTGTCCCCCGAGTTTGCGGGGCTGGCGACGGGGAGGAGCAGGCTTCTCCCCCCGCCAGCCTTCTAGCCAAGTCGGGGGACAGCGGGAAGGGCGCGCTGCGCCTCTCCCGCTGTCCCCCGAGCTTGTGGGGCTGGCGGTGGGGCTCTCCTGAAGCCTGGAGGTTGTGGGGCTGGGGGGGGGGAGAAGCAGGCTTGCTTCTCCCACCCCCAGCCTCCAGATCAGGTCGGGGAATAGCGGGATGGCGGAGCGCTGCCATCCCGCTGTTCCCCGACCTGATCTGGAGGTTGTGGGGATGGTGGGGGGGGGAGAAGCAGGCTTGCTTCTCCCACCCCCAGCCTCCAGATCAGGTCGGGGAATAGCGGGATGGCGGCGCTTCGCCATCCCCCTATCCCCCGAGCTTGTGGGGGCTGGGGGGGAGAAGCAGGCTTGCTTCTCCCCCCGCCAGCCTCCAGATCAGGTCGGGGAATAGCGGGGTGGCGGCTCTGCGCCTCCCCGCTGTCCCCAGCTTTTGGGTGCAGGCTGCTGCCCGCAAGCCTTGCGAGCCCGCGGGACATCCCGCCGGGCTTGCAAGACTTGGGATAGCTTCCTGAAGCCTGGAGAGCGAGAGGGGTCGGTGCGCACGGACCCCTCTCGCTCTCCAGGCTCAGCAAAAGCCTGCATTCGCACCATAGGACGCACACACATTTCCCCTTCATTTTTGGAGGGGAAAAAGTGCGTCCTATAGTGCGAAAAATACGGTAATCCTCATTTCATCTACTCGCAGGATCACTTTACTCCATATGCCAGTCTGTGCAACTGGCACTGTCGTTGCAGGATCTCACCTGCATAGGTTACATTAACTGCATCCCTCTCTCCTCTCCCTTCTTTTAAAAAAAAAAATTGAACGGATTGCAATTCTACTTATGTAATTAACTTATTATTATGAGTCACACGACACTTTTACACAAAGAAGTGAATGGGGACGAAGTTAACAAGAGCACTGCGCTCTGCCCCAACAACCGGCTTTGTTGCCAGGTGTCCTTCTACAAGATGTTATGCAATTATTTCCTTGGTAGAACAGGTAGAAGACTCGGAGGGTGCTTCCCAATGACCTGTTTACTGAACGTTCATCCTAATTTGCTTGCAGGGAGATGAGACAGCATTGGCTATTTAACAAGCATTTATTCCAATTTGCTTGTGCAGAGGTTAGATGATGATGCATGTGTTTATTCCACACCTACATAGTGAATTTTCCCATAACTTGCCTTTTCGTCGTCGCCCCCCCCAAAAAAAAAGTCTGATCTTTTGAGGTAGTGGGTTAGTTGCACAAGAGCTCTTAGACCAGCTATAATGGCACAACCTTAATTTGCTGGTGTGTAGCTGAATCCCAGAGGGACGCGGGTAGTGCTGTGGGTTAAACCACAGAGTCTGGGACTTGCCGATCAGAAGGTCGGCGGTTCGAATCCCCGTGATGGGGTGAGCTCCTGTTGCTCGGTCCCTGCTCCTGCCAACCTAGCAGTTCAAAAGCATACCAGTGCAAGTAGATAAATAGGTACCGCTCCGGCGGGAAGGTAAACGGTGTTTCCATGTGCTGCTCTGGTTTCGCCAGAAGTGGCTTAGTCATGCTGGCCACATGACACGGAAGCTGTACGCCGGCTCCCTCGGCCAATAAAGCGAGATGAGCGCCGCAACCCCAGAGTTGGTCACAACTGGACCTAATGGTCAGGGGTCCCTTTACCTTTTTAGCTGAATCCCACCCCCCAAATAGCAACTGTCTGCAAGGACCCAGAGAAGCAACAAAACTCCTAGGGCACAAGCAAAGTAAACAGGCTCACATGCACACCGTACAAATAATCTTAGGGAACTGTTGCTTGCTCTGTACAGAGATACAATTCCTACCACCCTTAACATACCACAGTTCCCAGGATTCTCTGGGGGAAGCCATGTGGTGGCTTAAATCCATGTTGTGGATGTGGTGTAACACCAAGCACACGGTTGTACCCCTGCTCTTCAGATTTCTCTCCCCTCCCCTCACCCTCCAAGCATACACAGAGCTATTCTCACAGGCCAGCAGGAAGCATTCCCCTCCTGCAAGAGGACAACACCTTTGTAAGCCAACCTGTTTTGAAATGTTCACATGGGATGCCATGCAAACAAACAAAAAAGAAAACTGCACACAACAGCAGTCGCTGGGGTTACTGCGGCATACGGCATATTGCTGTAATTGCCTCCCATTAGGAGAATCCTGCCTCTGGCTGTGGTTCTCACGCCCTTATCAGCTCGGAAATCAAAGTGCTCTTTGGCCACCTGGTGGCTCACAAAGGATCCATGCACACCACACATTTAAAGCTTGTTATTTCCCCCCAAAGGATCATGGGAGCTGTAGTTTGCTAAGGGTGCTAGGGAACAGAGCTCTGAAAAGGGTAAACTACAGCTCCCAGGATTCTTCAGGAGAAATAATGTGATTTAAATGTCTGGCCAAAAACAGACAACTTCCTTTCAGGATAATCCACCAAGCTGCCCAATAAAGTGCTTTGCCAGCTCAGCACAAGCTTTTGGAACAATGTAATTAAGGTTCTTAATTGCTTTGCTCCCCATTTTCTTCTTTTCTCTTTTTGTTTCCAATTTTCAATTTTGAGTTATAATATTAATTATTGTTGCTTAAAGTTTACTCATAATTTTATGTATTCTTCTAAATTCTAACTATCGGCTTGTTTTCATTTTGGTTTTTGAATTCGCAATGTACTGATATGTACATAATTCTAATGGTGGTGGTGGCGATGTAATTCTTGGGTTCTTATACTCTGGATTGAAGATTAACTAAGCCTGAGTACAAAATGGAACTGTTAAAAAACGTTAGCAGGCTGCAGTTTTTTTAGGAAGGAAGTGGCCCAATCTTTCAAGCTCATGTCTCTGCTACAGGGTTGGGGGACGTTATCCAGCAAAAGGACCAGATTCCCTTCAGGTCAGCGTTTTCCCACAGGCCAGGAAGCAGGGGGTTCTTTTCCTTGGGGGGGGGGCATTCAGGCAGGCCCTCACCTGCAGCCTGAAGTGGTCCAGTTCAGGAAAAACTTTCAGACTCTGCTGAATGTATACAATACAGTGGTACCTCGGGTTACAGACGCTTCAGATTACAGGCGCTTCAGACTACAGACTCCGCTAACTCAGAAATAGTACCTCAGGTTAAGAACTTTGCTTCAGGATGAAATCAGAAATTGCGCAGCGGCAGCGGGAGGCCCCATTAGCTAAAGTGGTACCTCAGGCTAAGAACAGTTTCAGGTTAAGAACGGACCTCCAGAATGAATTAAGTTCTTAACCCAAGGTATCACTGTACAAACCTAGACCAGGAACATAAGGTGGATAGCTCAGTCAGTAGAGCAGGGGTCAGCAAACTAAGGCCCAGGGGCCGTATCAGGCCCAATTGCCTTCAGGGTCCAGGCTGCTGACTGTCTGTGGATCGGCGTTGGGATTCTGTTCATTCAGGGTGCACCATTTTTCCCCCTACGCCGTTCCATCCCCCCCCTCTCCCTCACACACACCGTGGTGGCGCCTCTTCCCTCCCTCCTCCTGGCTTTCCCCCGCCCTGCCTAGAGGAGGAAGGAGGCTGGGCTGGCCCCTTCCAGCTCTATGATTCTATATACCGAGTCAGATCCTTTGGTCTACCTAGCTCAATACTGTCTGCAGTGACTGGCAGAGGCTCTCCAGGGTTTCAGACTGAGGTCTTCTCCAAGCCCAGCCTGGAGAAACTGGGAATTGGTCCTGGGAAGCTGGCAACTTCTGCATTAAAAGCAGGTGCCCTCCCATTGAATTACAGGTGCCACTACCAAGAAGGCCCTCTGCCTGGTTCCCTGTAACCTCACTTCTCGCAGGGAGGGGACTGCCAGAAGGCCCTCAGAGCTTGACTTCAATGTCCGGGCTGAATGATGGGGGTGGAGATGCTCCTTCAGGGTACACCGGGCCAAAGCCATTGAGGGCTTTAAAGGTCATCAACATCACTTTGAATTGTGCTCGGAAACATAATGGGAGCCAATGTAGGTCTTTCAGGACCAGTGTTATATGGTCTCGGCGGCCACTCCCAGTCACCAGTCTAGCTGCTGCATTCTGGATTAGTTGTAGTTTCTGGGTCACCTTAAAGGTAGCCCCACATAGAGAGCATTGTTGTAGTCCAAGAAGGCACCATGGAATCAGTTCTGCTAAGAGACCACCACTGTTTGGGATGGGCAAGGATTTCCTGTTTGGTTCAATGGGTCAGACTGAACTTGACAGCCACCTTCTGGCTCTGAAATGAAAAAGCCGTGTTGCGCTTCCTTACTGAAGAGGCGATTTACAGCTTCACAACCTGCTCAGTAACCCTTTATATTGCAGCTCCAAGCCACATTTGCTGAAATAACAGACACATTACAAAGAAATGCCTGTCCCCCAAAACAAATGACTCCAAGCTTAGAGGAAATTGCTCTAGGATTTGAATATACCCTTTCAAACTTTTAGAATGTAATATGCATGGCAGTCGACGGAGGGGGTGACTCATTCTGGCTCCTAGTACTTCCCTCGATGCTGCCAGGGCCATGATTAGCTGCACAGAGATTACAGGCACTTAGATTAAGAGCTCTAAAGCTGTTTAGGAAGGTGGTACTTGGCAGATGGATGTGCAAGTGGAAAAAGAGGGGACTCGGAGGCAGGAACAGTGATAAGAACATAGGGTTCTTAATAATAATAATAATAATAATAATAATAATAATAATAATAAATTTTATTTATATCCCGCCCTCCCCGGCCAGAGCCGGGCTCAGGGCAGCTAACACCAATAAAATCACAGTAATGGGGGGGGGGGGAGGAGAGAGAGAGAGAAAAAACCAATTTAAAATACAGGTTAAAATGCAATTTAAAATGCAGCCTCATTTTAAAGTAGCCGATAAATCAAGACCATAAGGGGAGGGAAACATAAGGGTCAGACTGAGTCCAAACCAAAGGCCAGGTGGAACAGCTCTGTCTTGCAGGCCCTGCGGAAAGATATCAAGTTCCACAGGGCCCTAGTCTCTTGTGACAGAGCGTTCCACCAAGTAGGGGCCAGTACTGAAAAGGCCCTGGCCCTAGTTAAGACCAATCTAACCACCTTGCGACCTGGGACCTCCAAAATGTTGTCATTTGTGGACCTTAATGTCCTCCGTGGGGCATATCAGGAGAGGCGGTCCCGTAGGTATGTGGGTCCTAGGCCGCATAGGGCTTTAAAGGTCAAAACCAGCACCTTAAACCTGACCCTGTACTCCACCGGGACCACCTCTCCACATGTGAACCTGGCCAGGCTCTGAGATCACCATCTGAGGGGTTTCTCTTCATGCGGCCTCCAAGGGTGGCAAGAGAACAGGAATCTGGAATGGATGGGCCATTGTTCTTGTGACCACAGAACAGACCCTTTCCGTAGCTCGCCATCTACGGAACGCTCTCCGCAGGGAGGGTTGACTGGCATCACCTTGGTCATAGTTTTGGCACCAGGCACTGATATTTAGGCCTTCCTGGGTATTTTGGAAGTACCAGTGATAGGGTGTTTTTTATTCCAATTAGATTAGGGTTTTGTTTTGTTTTGCTTTTTTCTACCGTTACATTGTATTTTATCCTTGTGGGTCATTTGAGGCTGTTGTGGGAGGTGATAAATACATTGAATAAACTAACTAAGAAAAGAAAAAGAAAGAAGAAGAAAAAGAAAAACTAACTGCCGAATTAGACAATTTGCTAGTATAATTATGACTGGCAGCCAGTCTCCAGGGTTTTTCCCACCGCCTGCTAACTGGAAATACCACAGATTGATTATGGGAGCTTCTGAAGGCAAAGTCTCCTCCTCCCTCAACAGCCTTAATTCCACTCATTAATTTATTAAGTTTGTATCCCAACTTTCGTCCGAGGAGCTCCAGATGGTGTACATGCTTCTCCCCCCCCCCCAATTTTATGAAGCAGGTTAGGCAGAGAGATACAATGACTGGCCCAAGGTCACCAAGTGAGCTTCACGGCTGAGTGGGGACTTGAATCCAGGTCTCCGAAGTCCCTAGTCCAGGCTTCCTCAACCTCAGCCCTCCAGATGTTTTTGGCCTACAACTCCCATGATCCCTAGCTAGCAGGACCAGTGGCCAGGGATGATGGGAATTGTAGTCTCAAAACATCTGGAGGGCTGAGGTTGGGGAAGCCTGTCCTAGTCCTACACTCTAACCACTACACCACACTGTATAATTGATAGGGATACGGGCTACCTTGGCACTGGTCAGCACACTAACCAGGGCTCCTGTTAAAACTGAAACCAGTTTTACAATGCTAAACCCTGGTTATCATCAACCACAACTAACATCATGCGGTGGTGACACTTTATCATGGCTAAGGTGGTTCAGGAAAGGAATCTGTGCACGTGAGGCGAGAGAGCAGCTACAGAAAACAAAACAAGCATCCCAGGGCATGGTTCATGCACAATGCAGTGGAATAACAACAACAACAACAACAACAACGATAACGATAATAATAATAATAAATTATTTATACCCTGCCCATCTGGCTGGGTTTCCCCAGCCACTCTGGGCAGCTTCCAAGTGAATATTAAAAACAATACAGCATCAGACATTAAAAACTTCCCTAAACAGAGAACAGTTGTCTTTTAAAAGTAAAATAGTTGTTTATTGCCTTGACATCTTCTGGGAGGGCATTCCATAGGGCAGGCACCACTACCGAGAAGGCCCTCTGCCTTTTCCCCAGTAACCTCACTTCTTGCAGAGAGGGAACCACCCGAAGGCCCTCGGCGCTGGACCTCAGTGTCTGGGCTGGATGATGGGGGTGGAGACGCTCCTTCAGGTATACAGGATCAAGGCCATTTAGGGAACTGGCAATGTTACAAGTGCCACCTATTACTCGTGCCGCATTTGTAAGAAACCTGTCTTTTAGTATGGAATGGTTCGTAATGCCCTGCCTACTGATATCAGGCAGGCATCTTCACTGTACTCAGAATGTTGGGGTGCATATTAATCTAGCTTTTAGCTTATCATTGATTTTAATTATTTTCTTAATGTTTTAACTGTCCTCCTGTTGATAATTTCATTGTGGGTTTTCTTGGGGGGGGGAGGAAACTGCTTTGAGTTTGTTGTTTTTTAAAACAATCAATTTTATGAAATAAAAGAAAACAACCTCACTGAAGCTGAGCAGGTATGGGTCTGGTCAGTGCTTGGATGAGAGACCACTCGGAAACCCCTCGAGTATGATGTCGGGATATAATAAACAGAATCGCCACGGCAATCAGAAAGTTAGCCTTACTCTGTCAGGAGTTGATGAAGCTTCTGATAGCCCTTCTCCAAGGCCAAGCTCACGGGAGTGGCTCCTTCACGGTTGGGGACACTGAGGGCTCCTCTTCCGCCTGGCTGTTGCAAGAGGAACCACGTAAGTCGCAGCAGTCCAAGCCTTACAGCAAAATGCATCAGTGTCTCCCGGGCAACATTCTCTGAGAGGAAGAAGAACCAGAAGGAAACAAAAGGGGTTTAGCTTTAATGCCATCTCTAGAAATCTCCATTACTATAAGGAGGTGGAATGAGTGAACATTTGCACTCTCATTCTCTCACATAACACACACACACACACACACACACACACAGAGTCAAACAGCTGGTATTAAAGGCCAAAGTGCCATTGCGAGCCAAGAGGAGCTAATAATTAAATCAGTTGGGAAACATATAACAGAGAGCTTATTGGCTCAAACTCAGAAGTTGTTGATCATCCAGGCCTGATTCAAGGTGTTGACATTCGTCTAAAAAGCCCTAAGGTAAAGGTAAAGGGACCCCTGACCATTGGGTCCAGTCGCGAATGACTCTGGGGTTGTGGCGCTCATCTCACTTTTTTGGCCGAGGGAGCCGGCGTACAGCTTCCAGGTCATGTGGCCAGCATGACTAAGCTGCTTCTGGTGAACCAGAGCAGCAGCGCACGGAAACGCCGTTTACCTTCCCACCAGAGCGGTACCTATTTATCTACTTGCACTTTGATGTGCTTTCAAACTCCTAGGTTGGCAGGAGCAGGGACCGAGCAACGGGAGCTCACCCCGTTGCAGGGATTCGAACCGCTGACCTTCTGATAGGCAAGTTCTAGGCTCTGTGGTTTAACCCACAGCACCACAATAAACACTTTCCATAATACCTGCCTGCCTTAAGATCTGCTGTGATTCCAACCGGGTCTAAACTGAGGTAGGTGGGGGGAAACAGGGGCATGTGCCCTGGGCAGCAGGTTAGTGGGTGGCAAACTGCGTCCTGCTCAGCCCCCAATGATGATGCAGGCACGGTGTGGGGGGCGGGGCATGCCCTTGTGTGCTGGGTGACTTGAATTTGGCCCCCAGGGCTGAGGTTCTCCAACCCTACTCTGAAACAAGATACAATACAACCTCTCACTCAATATGCAATCTACATTTAAATGCCACCAAGCACTGTCCCGTTCCCAAATCAAGTAGGTAGCTAAGAGAATTTCTACACCACCTTAAAAGAAAAGCTGGCTTACTGCCTTCATTAGCAGGCTGTCTCTCTCCTTCTCATATCCCATTTCAAATAAATCAGGATTTTGGCATTGCTGAAAGGCAATATGCAACTCAAACACACTGGATTTTTCCAGGACATAGTAAGAACAACAGGCAGAAAACACTCCAGAGACAGAAAAGAACAGTCCAAAATTCTCTCGCACAAAGGAAATGCAAGACATGTAAACAAAGCGGGGCTTCTCGTTTGTTTGCAGAAAGACCTACTTTGCAGTGCAGCTTTTAAGGAAACAGAATTGCCTGCATTTCTATTGATCATTACTTTTTTTATACTGCACTTTGCAGAGTACTACAGAGGCAGTTCTCTGCACAAAGGAACATTATTTAAGGACACACAAACATACGCTTTAGGTAAAAAGGCTTCTACAGAAGCTTACAAAAATCAGGGGCTTTTTTTATCTTAAAGATATGGCACGAAAGGAAAAAGGGATGAGGAGGGCAGCAGTCCAGTTCGCCTAATGAGTAGCTGGGATGGAAACAATTTAGGTAGCCAGATGGAACAGCCAGCACTAGGTGAACACGTGAGCATTGACCAAAGGCAGGATCTGGCAAGGTTTTACCTGCCTGGGCTGGTCAAGTCCCACGGAGATCTCTCTGTGGGCCGGAGCATGCGCACGCAATTTCCGGCATCTGGGCATGCGCAGACGCGATTTCCGGCTCTGTGAAAGCGAGTCCCCGCGCCGTGCCGGTTCAGCGCAGCGCACAGGGACTCGCCAAGTGGGCAGTTCGGGGGCTGGTTAAACTGCCCCTGTGGGCTGCTTGTGGCCCATGGGCCGCAGGTTGCCGACCCCTGACCAAAGGCATCTGGTCTTGGCAAAACTTAGAGGATAAGCACTGCTTCACTCTCCTCCCTCTGTTCTGTGTACAACACAATCTATCAGCATGTGTACGTATCTTCTGGATGACACCTAGCAAGGTCCGAAACAGAATGTTCCTTACCATATTCTCTCCCCATGGTTGAAAGACACCACCTGATAGTTTCATAAAATTAAATCTGAGCTGATAGGATGTTTTAGTCCTGCCATTTCAACAGATAGATAGATACATAGATAGATGATAGATAGACAGAATTTTAGATTTTATTCTATTTTAGTTTCGAGCTGGTTTTACCGTATGCATTGTTTTTTGTTGTAAATTGCTTTGAGTTACATTTTGTTTAAAAGGCAGGGGGACTAATACATTCAATAAACAAATAAAATCATCTTGTCTGTCTCAGTCTGTAACCAACTTGAAAGAACTCATCTGCACTACGTGGAATGTATTGTACAGCATTTATCATCTCTGCATTTAGAACTCCCGAGGACATTTTTTATTAATAATGGTAGCATTATAAATGATGTTTGCTTCTGCTACCGCATTGCTCGATAGAGCACAGCTGCAGCAATTCAATCAAGCAAAGAGCTCTGGAAGAGCACCTTGAGCGATAATAGCAGTTTATATATGATTTATGAGTTTATATAAAACAGGTTGGCTATGAGACCCACAGAAGAAGTTTCCAGTGAAAACCACAACTCTTTCTAGTTTGTCAATGAGTTAACTGTGGTCTCAAGTGTACAGGTATAAGCCAGGACTGTGTGTTTACTTGGCAATGATGATGATGATGATGATGATACAGTGGAACCTTGGTTCTTGAACAGCTTGGCTCCCAAACAAATCAGCTCCCAAACGCTGCAAACCCAGAAGTAAGTGTTCCAGTTTGCGAACGTTTTTCGGAAGCCGAACTTCCGACGCGGCTTCCGCTTGAGTGCAGGAAGCTCCTGCAGCCAATCGGAAGTCGTACCTTGGTTTTCAAACGGTTTCAGGAGTTAAACCGATTCCCGGAACAGATTAAGTTCAAGAACCAAGGTACCACTGTGAAGCTTGTGCTCACTTCTGTGACCTGTAAAAAAAAGTATACCAAAATGCCATTTTAAAAATTTGCTTCTTACTATTTTCCATCATTTCTATCCATGGGCTGTTAGGCTGCTAAAGGAAAAGAGAAGAACAGGGAAACTGACTTTCGGGTTTGGTGGTTATGCGTCAGTAAAGGAGGGGAACTAAGGCTAAGAGAGCTGAGTGGGGGGTGCTCCTGTAATCTCACTGTATACAAGTTGTACAAGTGGCAATAAAGTATTTCAATTTCAGTTTAGGCACAAGAAAGGGAGTGGGTGAGGGACACAAGAAACTAAAGACGGGTAGCACCTTCAGTCTTGGACTTTTTATACCACCAAACCAAGTAAGTATAGCTAATCATAGGAAAATAGCAACATACAAAGCTATCTTACACTGAGTTACACCCAGTGCTGTTTTTCTAGAAAAAGAGGTTCCAGAACTCACCATGAACGCCTCCCTTGTTCTCTTATAATGGCAATGGCGCCCACCTGAGGGGTGCCAGAGTTGAGTTCTGGCTAGAAAAAAAAAGCCCTGGTTGCTTCATTAGTCCATCTAGCTCAGTATTGTCTCCACTAAATGGCAGAGGCTCTCCGGGGGGTGGGGGGGGTTAAAGGAGGGAATCATTTCCAGGCCTACCAGGAAATGCCTCTGGAGGCTACATTTCTGGCCTTCTGCATGAAAGGCTGAAGCTCTGCAACCTTTCCCTCAGTGGAAGCTGATGGGAGTTGGAATCCAACCATTTCTGGTACCTGGAACTGCCCTGAGATCTACAGGTATAAGGGCAGTATACAAATTTAATAAATAAGTAATGCCTATAGGCAAGAAGGAATTATATAGCAGAGGTTTGGGGTGCTCTGCCCCTCATCTGTGGCCAGGCATAGAAATACAGAGAGTTCCTGCAGGACAGGAATCCGTTGTCCCACCTCTGCAATCCCTCAGCAGTCCAGTAATAATAATAATAATTATTATTATTATTATTATTATTATTATTATTATTATTATTATTTTGGAGATTAGTAACTTTTGCAGGCTTATAATTAGAAGGCTTATTGTCCTACTTCTAAACATACCCTCACAACCATGAGGCCCAGAAGCAGCTTGCTTTGTTTTTACAATCAAAGATTCAGGTAAGTAGCCATGTTGGTCTGACACAGTCGAAACATAAAAAATAAAAATAAAAATGTCCAGTAGCACCTTAGAGACCAACTAAGTTTGTTCTTGGTATCAGCTTTCGTATGCATGCACACTGATATCTGAAGAAGTGTGCATGCACACGAAAGCTTATACCAAGAACAAACTTAGTTGGTCTCTAAGGTGTTACTGGACATTTTTTAATTTTATATGTTTTTACAATTAAAGACAGAAACTCTCAGAGAGCTGGGCTCTACATCCCTCACAAGTGCCACAAACTCCTGGGCTCCTGGAAGCTGTCCCATTCAGGCCAACAGGGTAAGTAAAGGTAAAGGTACCCCTGCCCGTACGGGCCAGTTGTGTCCGACTCTGGGGTTGCGTGCTCATCTCGCTTAAGAGGCCGGGGGCCAGCGCTGTCCGGAGACACTTTGGCATACACATCGTCAGAACATAAGGACCTTGTTTCAGTGCTCTGAGTCAAACAGAATTTGCTGTGTGACTCAAAAGCACTTGGGCTCCTTAACCTGTGCTCACAAGCCAAAAATGGTTCCTGAGTCCTGGCACGCCTCCCCAAGCATATTTGAATTAAACTTGGCAGAAAGCCACTGCAGCCTCACCCCGATAAGAACCAAACAAGGAATCAACACCTTGTGCGCTTGGTAGCAGGTTTCAAACACACCTGGAACCGTTCAGAGAAAGGAACGCAATTGATCTTGTTCAGAGGCAATATTAATTTGAAGACAGGTAATCTGTTCCTGTCCTGGCTGGAGATGCTGGGGACTAAACCTAGGGCCTTTTGCGTGCAAAGCAGTTGCTCCACCACTAAGCTACTCCTTCCATATCCTGCCTCAGGGTCAGCTCAATAAATTTTGGCACCCAAGGCAAGCCATGAAATGGTACACAAACACACACACACACACACACACACACACACACACACACACCAAGCCAGGGAAGAAGTGGAAAGTGAAACTCTACATCAGGAATGGGTGGGGGTGAAGATCTACATGCAATGTGTTGCTTGGGGGTCACATCTGCTGCCCTGGTGGGTCCTGCCACCCGAGGTGGTCGCCTCACCTTGTCTCATGGGAGGGCCGGCTCTGTCCTGCCTCCATCAGCAGCTCTGAACTGCAGGTGGCAACGTTCTACATGCAAAATCACTTTTTTCACAACACAAGGGATGAAGAAATCCACAGGCACAGAATCAGCTTTCTGGTGGCATTTAACTCCGGGATTAACTTCCAAAATCCTTTCTAATTCTCAGGAACCAGAGCAGATCCTTTCGGTGGCTCATTTCCAGCCTTTCTGATCATGTTCCAATATAACCTTTGAGGCTCACTTTCTCAACAAGTTGAAATCTGGTCACCGGGCAAGTCTTTCCAGATACCATCAGCTTAACCTACAGCAAACATAGCTCCCCCACACGAATTTTATGTGCAATTTCCCCATGTAGCTATTTTTCTCTTCTTGGGGCTTCAAACACCTTTCTGTGCCCTTCTTATGCCATTTCTTTCTGATTACATTTATCCCCTGCCCCCAAGGAGCTCAAAGTAGTGCTCATGGTCCTCCCTCTCCTGTTATCCCCACAACAAACATGGAGTGAGTGCAGGCCCCCAAACATGCCCAGGACCCTTCTGCACCACACAGGGATCTCGTGAGCATAAGAAGAGCCTGCTGGATCAGGCCAATGGGACATCTATCCCAGCATCCTGTTCTCACAATGGCCAACCAGATGCCTGAGGAATAAACCCTGAAGCAGGACCTCTGAATTCCAGAGTTTTCTCCTGCAGTTTTCAGCAACTGGTGTTCAGAAGCATTACTGCATCTGTCTGCCTCTGAAAGAGGGGAGGTTTTTTTGTCTGGTGAGCAGAAATACTTGTGCTGATGGAATGATCTCCTTAGTGTGTGTGTGTGTTTTTACTGTGACACTGAATTCCACCTAAAGAAATAAAGCAACGTGGCTTAATTTAGGTCCATTCATTTCAATGTGTCTACTGTAACTTGGATGCAGCCCATTGACTTTGACATGCTCAGTGTGATTTCTGGCTCTTGAGCAGCAGAACAGCTGGATCACACATTGCTTTGGGAAGCCCCTCCACCCCGCTGTGTGTCTGAAAAATCTTTTGTTATGTGGCATGGCAGGGGGGGGGGGACACAACTATTATCAATGCCAAGCCTAAAGCCACCTCCCTCAGGTGTATGGAAATTGCAGGACTCCATCAGGCCTCGTCTCCAGTCTCTTGGAAGCCCACTTCCACCAGAAGAGGGGATGGCCAACAGCTTAGATGGCTTAGATGGCTTCAAAAGTCAAATTCAATGACTACTAGCCAGGATTTGATTTACATGGCCCCCAGTGTCAGAGGGAGTGTGCCACTTGTTACTACTTTAAACAAACAAACAAACAAAACCCAGCAGTTTTCCAAAAAGCATTTAGATGGAAAACAAAAGTATGTTCTTGCGTTGGATGTTAGCTTTAGAATATTTTGCCCCTGGCTGTACCTTATTGCACCCACCGCCAACCACATTGCTGGGCCAGAAGTGGAATTGGTTAGTTGGTTTTCCAGGCTTTCTGACCTCTGCTTATTCCAGCTAAAACCACTTCCTCCCCCCTATTTCTTGAGTGTCGAGTGGGAGGGAATGTTTATAGAGGGAGAATGGTGAGATAAATGCACACATACTCCCATAATCTCAGACATTCACCTCATTCTCCAAGCGCCTATACTTATGTCTCCAAACAGCACCACTCACACACACACACAAAAACCGAGGTATTGAAGTGCAGAACACATCAGAACAGAAAACCAGAAATGTTGGTGCCTTTTCTCTCTATGCATATAGTTCTCAGAGTGGTTAAGTAGTCAGTCCCTCTTCGCCCACGATGGGGTGAGCTCCCGTTGCTCGGTCTCTGCTCCTGCCAACCTAGCAGTTCGAAAGCACATCAAAGTGCAAGTAGATAAATAGGTACCGCTCCAGCGGGAAGGTAAACGGTGTTTCCATGCGCTGCTCTGGTTTGCCAGAAGCGGCTTAGTCATGCTGGCCACATGACCCGGAAGCTGTACGCCGGCTCCCTCGGCCAATAAAGCGAGATGAGCGCCGCAACCCCAGAGTCGGCCATGATTGGACCTAATGGTCAGGGGTCCCTTTACCTTTAAGTGTTGAGTGGGAGGGAGAATAATTTCTGCCTCTGAATGTGGAGGCAGAGCATAGCTAGTAGCCGTTGATAGACTTATCTTATGTTGCAAGAGCGCCTTGGAAGCTGAATCGAGGTAGAGTTTCCTGGCAATTGGAGGTTTTACAGGAAAGAGCTGTGGCTCAGAGGTAGAGCATCTGCTATGTATGCAAAAGGTCCAAAGTTCAACCCTAGCATCCCCTGGTAGGGCTGGTGAAAGACCCCTGCCTGAAACCTTGGAGAGCAGCTGCCAGTCAAAATAGAGAATACTGAGCTATTGGTCTGGCCCAATAGAAAGCAGCCTCCTCTCTTCTCTAGTTTGAAGAATGAATGAGAGGATGTGGAGCACTCATGGGTGGTTGATTATGTAGTGCAAGCACGTCATGGCATGCAGAGTGGTTGGGCTTCAGTTTCAAGAAAGCCCACTGAATGCAAACATTGTGACCACTCAGAAACAATTGCTGGTTCAACTGCGGCCGCTTTCCTCATGTTTTCCTTGTTTGCATAAAGAACAAATGGTGGTTACTATACAGTAACTCATGAGCAGCAGCCACAGGGGGGTGGAAGGGGAAACAGCCAGGCAAAGAATCAACCACCATTTAAGAGCATCCCATAATAACCTGAAGATTCCTCACATATTCAAAAGGAGGGGAAACAGCACAGAGCACAGAGGTCACAATCCCAATTCACCCCTGAAGACATTTTCCACAAGTCACAGAAAGAAAGAGGCAACTGAATGGAATCATTTGCAAGAAAACTGAAATAAAAAGTTTTTTAAAAAAACCCAATATCAAAGTCCCATTCAAATATTAAGTGTCCAAAACTCATTCAGGTATTTTAATTTAGATTTTCCACTCTACATTTTCATTCAGTTCCATTTAATTTGGCAACATGGATATAAAAGCATCTCAACAAACCATCTTACCATTTGCAGTGTGGTCTGCTCCCAGCACATTCCACCCAGCCGGCAATTTCAGATGACGAAACGCCAAAGCCACTTTCTCATCCAGGAAGTCCACATCCCCAGCCGGAGGCCTGGACTTGTCCAGGAACCTCGTGAAGTTCAGAGCCTGCTGGTTGCCAGCGCAGGTTGCCAAGAACTGAGCTGCGTCATAAGCTTCATCCTGAACAAACTGAAGGCTGTCCTCTGCCACCACCAAGAGAGGGGAGCCTTGCTTGGCAGCGCAGAGAGAGACTTTCACCGTCTCACAGCAATCGTGGCCTGTGGAACAAGAACAGACACAGCTGACAGTCTCCATCTGCAAAAAAAAAACTTTCATTGCACCCTAATTCTACTCCTAAAACCACATTGCAGCTAATTATTCCGCTGTAGCATCTACGTGATGGATTCAAATGCTGCTTAAACATTGCACCAGCTTCCTTTCAGATTTGTTCTGCTATGGGCACAGAAAACCACTGTGGCAGTCCCATGCTTATTAGTACTGAGGAAGAATCTCAGTTGCGCACCACAATGTAATGAGCCTGGGATTAGACTAGATGGGGTTTTGAGGTCACCTCCAGTCCTGTGATTTTAAAGCGGCAAGATGGGATTCTGTAGGAAACGAGGACCACAAAAATTATCAAAACACTTCCTTTCTTAAGTAAATAGCCTTGCCAGTTCTGCTAAGTAACTGCTTTGTAATTAAGCTAGAGAAGGGTTCCCATCATTCCTGAACAATGGTCCGGCTAGCTAGGGTTGATGGGAGTCGTAGTCCAACAACTGGAGACCCAAGTCTGGGAAACCCTGAGCTAGCACAATGAGTTGCTACAGACACTAAATAGCTAGAGACCCTACTAAAAGGTGAGTGCGCACACAGATCATTGCACTGCAACTACCAAGTGGATTTAGGTTTCTTGGGGAGGGGGGACCCACAGGGCAGCATCGGTGCCAGTGTGGTGGAGTGCTTAGACCTGCGCGGAGGGAGAGCCAGAGAGAGGCATCGCTCCTGCGCGGCGGGAGAGGGAGCAGCCGGAGCGATGCCCCAAACGAACGCATGGGACCGGAGGGGAAATCCTCTCCGAGGCGGATTGAGCGCAGCTGAGAGAAGCCTTTCGAGGAGCTGCCGTGTCCCCTGGAAACCCCCTTCCCAGCTCTGCCTCAGCCGCCGCCGCCTCAGTTGCCGCCGTCCCTCAGTCCCTCGCTCTGCTGCCTCCTCCCACCCCCAAAGCTTGGAGGTTCCCCAGCAAGGGGGAGGGAAAAAACTTTCACTTTTGTGCGTCCCTCCCGGCGTGACGCTGCGCGCTGACGTCACGGGGCGGGGCTTTAATGGTGGTGTGCCGCGAGATTTTTACCAAACCAGGCCCTGAGAGACCACATTTCAAATCCCCTACTCAGCTATGATATAGCACACTGGGTGACCATGGGTCAGTTGCAGCCTCTCCACCTGACTCACATCACAGGGTTGTTTGTGGGGATTAAATGAGAAGAAGAGGAGGAGGAGGAGGAGGAGGAGTAGTTTGGATTTGATACCCCGCTTTATCACTACCCGAAGGAGTCTCAAAGCGGCTAAAATTCTCCTTTCCCTTCCTCCCCCACAACAAACACTCTGTGAGGTGTGTGAGGCTGAGAGACTTCAGAGAAGTGTGACGAGCCCAAGGTCACCCAGCAGCTGCATGTGGAGGAGCGGAGACGCGAACCCAGTTCACCAGATTACGAGTCCACCGCTCTTAACCACTACACCACACTGGCTCTCTGAGGAGAACCACATACGCCTCCTTGAGCTTCCGGGGGGGGGGAGGCAGGGTATAAATAATAGAATTGTAGAGTTGGAAGGGACCCTGAGGATCATCTTGTGCAACCCCCTGCAATATGAAGCAGAGGCGTTGCAAGGTGGGTGCAGTGTCCCCCGGGTGCCACCTCCGAGGGGGATGACAAAATGCTGTGTTGCAGTCAACGGCTGTGATAGACGCTGTTGCTTTGGTGCGCGCAGGCTTCCTGCTGCCAAAACGATCCGCCCGCCGGCTCTCCCTCAGTTGTGTGGCGGCCGGCAGGTTTCTTGCCGCAAGGCACGCAATCTCCCCAAAAGGAGATGAGGGAGGCGGGAGTAAATATTTGAACTATTTGAAAAGCAATTGTAATAAACAGATTATGCTAGTAGGATTGCAAGAAGCTCTGTAAGGAGCACTTTTGTGAAATACTGCAAGGAAGACTATGAAAAGAATTATTAGTTAATGACAATTAAAAGTAATAGAGAAATTAAGAAATGCAGAACAAGTGATAAAGAAGGGAAAATCTTCAGAGGTTGTTGATGGAAGTCTAAAATTTTGTATAAGATAAGAAGTTATGTTAAATGATTGTTGGAAATGATATGTTAAAAAAAAATTATATATATAGGAGATGAGGGAGGCGGATGAAAAGCTAAAGGGTGGCATGCAGATTAGACCCCAACATTGCCATGCATTTTATTCTCTCTCTTTTGAGTGTGTGTGTGTGTGTGTGTGTGTGTAGATCTCAATTGCTGCCCCCTTTCTCCCCCACCCTGGCTGACATGCAGCGGGATCATGCCACCCCCCTCCTCTGGCCACGGTGCTGGAGAGAGAGAGAGGTATGCATGCATGCACCAGCGAAGCCCTCGCCAATGGGATCCTTGTGAGGTGCTTTCAAAAACTTTGCCGCTCCGTTTGGTCCGCCTCCCTCTCCTCTCTGGCAAACCCAGATTCTCGTGGGGGACAGAGAAGGAACCAGGGCAGAAGCTATTGCTTTGGCGCCCAGCCCCACTTGAAGGTAAACCTAGCTGCGGCCGTCAACAGCTGTGAGAGACGCTCTTGCTTTGGCGCACGCAGGCTTTCCGCTGCCAAAATGATCCGCCAGCCAGCTCTCCCTCAGCTGTATGGCGGCCGGCAGGTTCCTCGTCGCAAGGCACTTGATCTCCCTGAAAAGGCTCAACAACTTTAGTCCCCAACCCCAAAAAAAATGAAATGAAGTCAAACCATAGTTGCAGGCAAAAAAGAAAAGAAAAGAAAAGAAAAATTCAAAGGGAGGGGGGAGGTGACAAGAAATTTTCTGCACCAGGTACCACCTAACCTTGCTCCGCCACTGATATGAAGCTGCCCCATACAGGGATTGAACCTGCAACCTTGGTATTATCAGCACTATGCTCTAACCAACTACATGCAATAAATAGGTAATAAATACGAATTTATGAGCCTAAGTACTTGAAGGGGGAGAGAGGTGGGGAAGAAAGAGTGTGTTTGGGGCACGTCTTTGAATTTAACCATCCAAGCAAGTTGTGCAGACCTAGGAAACGCGTGACGAACTTCAAACAGCATGCTGAGAGGTGGAAGTTTCATATTTTCAGCAAAGCCATTGTTCCATAATTGCCAGCCCAGCCCCCTTTAATAGTCAGGTTGGTGACTTATGTCCTCTGCAGGCTCTGCCTCTTTCCCCACTGATGCACTGACGTCAAGACTCCTTGTGCCAGAACAGCAGAGACCATTCACTAATTACTGGAAAAGTTGCTCTGCCCCATTACCTCAGTCTCTGACTGTGTGAATCAACTCTTATCCTCCTTTTCTCTTTGTTTTTAATTGCATAAATGGGAGTCGGATCCCTCATTGCCCCCTTTGCCACCGCCCAGAAAGAAGCTTGAAATTTACAACTAGCTCACTTGGGACAGTGGCAGGCGGGAATGTTCCTTTTCCAGCAGTACAGAGAGGAACTTTGCTCCCAATTGAAGAGAAGAACACCCCCCCACACACACCATGAAAGCTGAAATTACAGGCTCAAACAGACTAGGAAGTTTTAAATAATTGTGACTTCACAAGCAAGGAAAAGGAAGCAGCTGGGGTTGTTCTTTACAGCACTGACTGCATTTATTTCTTTAACCTAGGGAGAAAAACTCAGCCGCTTCGCTCCTCCTGTGCTATTGGGGGCTAAGCCATAGTTTGGCTGGTTCCATCCAAACCCAGAACTGTGGCTTGTTTCCCCCAAAAAACAACAACAACAACAAACCATAAGCAATAAAAAGCCAAGAAAAAAGACATTGGTTACAGCTCGTGAAAGGTCTGGAGCCAGACAAACCATGAACCCGGGTTTGGTCACAATGCTAATCCAAACCATGGCTTAGCTCTGGTTAATATGGCAGGGAAAGAGGGAAGCAGCCATAGCTTTCTCACTGTGCACCAAACCATATTGTAGCTTCCAGTTATGTGTGAACGAGTATTATTAAGTACAGGGGCAGGGACTCAGGTAGAGAATTGGGCTGTGAGATGGGTCACGCGCACACACACACACACACACGCACACACACCTCTGCCTATTTTCACCAGTGAAATTCTGGGAGGGGATGCAGAACTAAGCAGCATCTGAAAACCCCCAGCTTTCAGAGACTTGGACGAGGTGACAAATTGGATTTGATCAGATCAAACGCATATCCGGCTACAGCAAAGGAGTTTAATGTGTTCCTCGAGGGCAACATGTTCAGTCCCTTTCAAGTGCTTTGATGTCCCCCCCTTCCCTTACAACTGACAAAGATTTGAGGCCAACAGTGGGGGGAGCTTGGGGCGGGGGGGGGGGGAGAGATAAGTTTTTGACTTTGGCAATTAGTTCAAAAGATCAGGGGAGCTATTCCATAATGAGCAAGCGACTCCAGGAGGCCCCCGAACCTGTCACTTGAAATTGTCTGCCTAGTTTCTGCAATAGTCGAAAAGAGAAAAGAATTACGAACATAAAATAGGCCTTGCTAAGGCTTTGCGCTACAAATGTAGTTGAATACAGAACCAAAACCAACTTGTTAAAAACTGGATAACCCTCTACCCCACCCAAATATGGGAAATGTTTAAATTAAACCCTCCTGCACTTCCAGAGCTCTCCTCCAAACAAAATGCAACCCTGCTGCCACTGGGCAGAGAAACTAAACCAATGATTTCGCAGCAAGCTGCAGCTTTTCTTCCCATATTTATTTTCCCATCTCCGTCATGCTGGTCTTAAGTGGAATTTAATGTTGTGTGGCGCATGCATTTTATTGTTTGTTTGTTTGCACTGTAATTTCAAAGGACAAAGGTAGAACAGAATACAGCAGCACCTCGGCTTACATTACCTTTGGGGTAACGTAAACTTCGGGTTGCAAAAGCGGCAAACCTGGAAGTGTTTCGCCGCGCGCACGTGCGCAGAAGTGGCCCCTCCAGTTGTGGAAACCTCGGGATCCGACTGGAGCTCCGGAACAGAGCCTGTCCACAACCGGAGTTACCACTGTAGATGATAGATAGATGATGATCGATAGATGATAGATAGATGATGATAGATAGATAGATGATAGATAGATAGATAGATAGATAGATAGATAGATTAGATAGATGATAGATAGATAGATGATAGATAGATAGATAGATAGATAGATAGATAGATAGATAGATTAGATAGATGATAGAGATAGATAGATAGATAGATAGATAGATGATAGATAGATGATAGATAGATAGATAGATGATAGATAGATAGATAGATAGATGATAGATAGATGATAGATAGATAGATAGATGATAGATAGATGATAGATAGATAGATAGATAGATGATAGATAGATGATAGATAGATAGATAGATAGATAGATAGATGATAGATAGATAGATAGATGATAGATAGATAGATAGATAGATAGATAGATAGATATAGATAGATAGATAGATAGATATAGATGATAGATAGATAGATAGATAGATAGATAGATAGATAGATAGATGATAGATAGATGATAGATAGATAGATAGATGATAGATAGATGATAGATAGATAGATGATAGATAGATAGATAGATGATAGATAGATGATAGATAGATAGATAGATAGATAGATAGATAGATAGATAGATAGATAGATATAGATAGATAGATAGATATAGATAGATAGATATAGATAGATCTATATCATCTATCTATCTATCTATCTATCTATCATCTATCTGATAGATGATAGATAGATAGATAGATAGATAGATAGATAGATGATAGATAGATAGATAGATAGATGATAGATAGATAGATGATAGATAGATAGATAGATAGATAGATAGATAGATAGATAGATAGATGATAGATAGATAGATAGATAGATAGATGATAGATAGATAGATAGATAAGATAGATGATAGATAGATAGCCTCCAATATGACAGACCCTCCAAGTTTCCCTATTTTCCATGCCTTTCCCTAACTTGTAATGTACTTTTGGCAATAAATAGTTAATTCCTCACTCTGGACATTGAATGCCTGTCAGCACTGTGACACTGTCTGGCACTTGGAAAAACCACGGGTCGCAGCCAATGCTAATCCTTCTCAGAGCAGACCAACTGAAATAGTTGCAAATGACTAACTTAAATTCATTGATTTGACTGGATCTACTCTAAATAGGTACCACTCCGGCGGGAAGATAAACAGCACTTCTGTGCGCTGCTCTGGTTCGCCAGAAGCGGCTTAGTCATGCTGGCCACATGACCCGGAAGCTGTACGCCGGCTCCCTCAGCCAGTAAAGCAAAATGAGCGCCGCAACCCCAGAGTCGGTCACGACTGGACCTAACGGTCAGGGGTCCCTTTACCTTTTTACTCTGAATAGGATTAGCAATCGATAAAACACCAAGACACTGCTTGCTGATTTTTGCATTTGCGCAGCAGGGATGAGCTTCTATTCTCCTGCGCTGTGCAAGAGAGAAGGGGCTCACCACAATCCCCTCCACACAGTTGGGCCAGAAGACCATGTCGCCCCTGCACTGTCTCTGGTCTATGCCCCTTCTCAGTACCCTTAAACTACACTTTGCAGAATTCTTTGGGACTCTTTAAAGAGGCGTGATACTGCTTTAAATGCAAAGTGCAGATGGGGACTTGGTGTGAAACGGACCGCAATTCTGTGGCCAGTTTGAGTGTTTGAACCCATTGGCCTATCTTTTGAGATAGGGAAGGCAACAAAAGTCTAGACAGGCAAAGAGCAAAAAGTGGCGCAGCCCACAGTTCAGCATTTTGGCTCGCGTCACAGTCAGCCGTTTTCCGAACGAGTGGTAGCCATCCAAGCAGGCTCCTTTATCGTCAAGCTGCATGGAGACAAAAACAGTGCTGTAGCTAAACAAGTGGCAGCTGGAAGCCAAGCTCAGCGCATGACTTCATGGCCTGTCCAGCCAGGAGTGGAAGCCGACACGTCCAAGAGCTCCTATTTTGAGGACTCGGATCTCACAGAACAAACAATAGGCGTTCAGCTCCAGCAGCTATTTTTAAGTTTCCATAGAAAAGGCAGGATAGCATTGCCTCTGCAGGCAACCGCAGACAGCAGCTCACCAGGACTGAAGTCTGGGGGTGCAGATCTCAAAGTGCATAAAACTAGATTAGGCATCTCTAAAAAGCACCCTTGTGTGTACGCGCACCACACTAAAAGTAGTTTAGGACGTGAAAAGGGGGGAATTAACTGATTAAGCTGCATTTATTGGCCACAATGTAAAAGGGATGCCTCAAAGCAACTTAAAGGTAAAGGTAAAGGTACCCCTGACTGTTAGGTCAAGTTGCGGATGACTCAGGCATTGCACACTCATCTTGCTCTATAGGCCGAGGGAGCCGACGTTTGTCCACAGACAGCTTCCGGGGCACGTGGCCAGCATGACTAAGCTGCTTCTGGCAAACCAGAGCAGCGCATGGAAACGCTGTTTACCTTCCCGCCGGAGCGGTACCTATTTATCTACTTGCACTTGACGTGCTTTCGAACTGCTAGGTGGGAGGCAGCTGGGACCGAACAACGGGAGCTCACCCCGTCACGGGGATTCGAACTGCTGACCTTCTGATCGGCAGGCCCTAGGCTCTGTGGTTTAGACCACAGAACCACCCGCGTCCCCAAAGCAACTTACGACAGCATAAAATACGAAAGAGCTAAAAAAATCAGTTAAAAAATCAGTTAAACAAAATGCAATCAACAAAATTATTTTATTCAATAATACTTCAAAAATGGGAAATCCTGCCCCAAACATTTACCAGCAAAGCTATGGTTTCTTGACTTTACTGTAGGGGGTCAGCAACTGATACATCCCAAGCTAAATCCAGCCCCATTAGAGTTCCTCCTTGGTCTCCCAGGCAACACACATGCACATATTGCTCCAACTGGACTGCTTAACTGTGTGTTTCTGGGCCCAATTCAAGTTGCTAACATTAAACTCTAAAGCCCTAAATGGCTTGGAACTGGGTTGTCTAAAGGACTGCCTTTGCCCAAATAATCCTGCCATTAAAACCAACTACTGAGTGCTTGCCAAGACAGTCAATTAGATTGGTGGGCACAATAGATAGGGCCTTCCCTGTGCTGGCTCCCATAATTATAGAACCCCAATGGGCTGCACCCAACATTTTCTGTCTGCTAGTATGAGGGAACTTGTGTTAGTGAACAGGTGAGTTTTAATGTCGCACGAGAGAGGAATCAAATGCAGAAGCTGCGCTAGTGGGAAACCATTGTGCAACAGACTGTGCAATTCATTGTGCATCGAAGTCACCAACAACCTTTGCATTCTCTTATGCAACAACATTTCAACAGCAGAACAAGTACCACTAAGTGACTTTACCTTAATACTAAATTTGATGCAACCACAAGAACTATCTCTTCAGTACAGGTCTTCAAATGTCAAAGACCCATTTGTTCTCGTGTGCCTTTCCTTCCTTCCTTTCTTTCTTTCTTTCTTTCTTTCTTTCTTTCTTTCTTTCTTTCTTTCTTTCTTTCTTTCTTTCTTTCCTTTAATGCCACTGTCTTTACGTAATAAAAGTTAATGGTCAGCCCCTTTAAGGGGCCTTCTAAGAAAAATTCTTGCTCAACAGGGCTTCATGGTGCTCTCTTTTGCCTTTGGGGTGGGGAAATGATGCTATGTTTCATACGAAAGGGTATTTTTTAAGAAAGGAAAATCAAGGCCACATGACTGTTGCTTTCAAGTGACCATCTCTTACACAACTTGTTTACTCTTGTGGTCTCCCAGGACAAAGATTATTTCATAAAAAGGAAGAAGGGAAGAGAATTATTTTTACAGCAAACATTTAAAAACTCACAAGAAATTGAGAGAGGGTTGCGCCCTGGGGAAAAATAGCAAAATTAACGTATTTATATTTATTAACCTAATTGAACGAGAAGGTAGAAAGCATGCCTTTTTTTTTTTTTACAAAGCTGCAGATCTTCATAGGCAACTAAGTTAAGAAAGGTGCAGCTGCTCACACAGCCTGTTCCTTGGGCTAAGCAACCACAGACACACAGAGGACACTTACTTAGCCATGGTTAAATGGTCAAGAGAGTGCTGGAGGTTATGTGCTTCCTTACGCTGCCCCATCTCTTCCCCACCTCGAGTCGCCCCATCTATCTAAACCACAGTTGATGTTCCCCAGCTACACATCATTTCGCCGGGCTGGAATGTGTCCTTGAATCCTGATAAGGCCTGTTGCTTCCCAGGGAGGAGGAAAAAGGGTGTGTGTTTATAGAAACTAGCCTACTGTACAAATCTAAAGACCCCCAATTTTGCCTCTGGTACTGCTCACAAACTGCCACAGGCTGTCCAGAGAGGAAGGCTGAAAAACAGGTTCACTCGCTCGCCCCTGGCTTATAATGGTAGATTTGCGGGAGATCGTTTTTGTAAAAAAAAAAAAAAGAACTTACCAGGAGCAATGGTCTCCAATGTCCCTGAATCAAGCTTCCTAGTGCTGGTGCAGTGCTGAACGGCGGATCCAGTAAACACAAGGTAGAAAACTACATCATCGCTCCCAGCTTTTGTCATCCTCAGTAAGCAATACGGTGATTATGCAGTCGCCCTAAAGGAGAAGAAGAGCATAAGGATTTAATATTTCTGGAATTTAATTTTTGCATTTCTGGCTCACAGCCTTGTGAGAGAAGGTGACTGCGAGCTTCATGGCTCAGAGCAGGGATTTGAACCCCGGTCTCCCAGGCCCTAATCCAATACTTCATCCATCCAAAGGTCTGGGGTAAAGATACAGCCTAACAACCTCCTTTCTGAAGAAGCACATTTAAAATAAAACATGTTGGTTTTTTATAATAAAAAAGAATACACAAAGACACAGCCAAAGAGAAGCAATAATTTACTCCTTTCCGTGGGGAGAGCAAAGTCCATTCAGCTGCTACCACCAAGATCAAGCTGCCAGCAGGCACTGAGGAATTCTCTCACACCTCCTAATCGCCAATAAGATAAAGGAAGCATGAATAAAAAACATCAGACCTGGAACTCCAAGACCAGAGTTCAGGTTCCCAGTTACAAAGCTCAGCAGGTGACCTAGGGTCTGCTCTCAGTCTAGTCTACCTAATAGGATTGCCAAGGGGAGAAATCCACACAGGGCCCTAAATTCCTTACGGAAGGGGGTCTGGTACAGATGAGGTACTTAGTGCATGTTTTCCAGCTGCGAATTCTTAGGAAAAATTACCACCACCGGTTGGTTCTTTCTTTCTTTCTTTCTTTCTTTCTTTCTTTCTTTCTTTCTTTCTTTCTTTCTTTCTTTCTTTCTTTCTTTCTTTCTTTCTTTCTTTCTTTCTTTCTAAGTAAAACTGGGTCCAGAAATATGTTTCCCTCCCACACACATAATAAACCCTGTCAGTAATATAAATTCACAATTTCTGGTGTAAGGTTCACGGTTTTAAACAACTCTGGAGCTACAGCAAAGCGCAGATGAATTCCTGTAACCTAGGAAGGCAATCTGTTTCCAAAAGCACTGCTGCCCTCAACCCAGAGAGAGACGTTTTAATTCATGCATGTTTACCTTTCCTCATTTATTATTACCCAAATAATGTCATCTGCTTGAGATCACTACCACACAAGGTGGTTATTATAACCCCGGTTCATTTGAAGCAGCCAAGCCGGGCAGCCAAACCCCATTTGGAGAAAACTCTCCCAAGATCAAAAGAGCCTCTGGCACAGGCCGGCAAACAAAAGTATAACTTAATTTCGTACCGAGCTTTGATTGACTAATGTTTACCTGGCTTGGTGCCCCGCTGCCAATGAAAACATGCCATTTAACTCCACCACACGCGCACGCGCGCGCGCACACACACACACACACACACACACACAAAGGTCACCTTTACTTTCAAGTCAGGAACCTTTCGGAGACGTTTACCTGGAAGTAGCTGCGTCTTCACAGCCCAATCCATTTTTAGCTACAAAAAGTGGGGAAAGCTACACCAACAGTCCCACAGCCAAAAGGCAGCTAGCAGCAGTGGTCAAGAGAGCCCTGCTAGATCAGGCCAAAGGTCCAGCATCTTCTTCTCCCAGTGGTCAACCAACTCCAGGCCGAAAGCAGGACCTGGTCATAGCAGCCCTCTCTCTGCTCATGACCTCCAGCAACAGGTAAAGGTAAGGTAAGGGGACCCCTGACCATTAGGTCCAGTTGTGACCGACTCTGGGGTTGCGGCACTCATCTTGCTTTATTGGCTGAGGGAGCCGGTGTACAGCTTCTGGGTAATGTGGCCAGCATGACTAAGCCGCTTCTGGCAAACCAGAGCAGCGCACGGAAACGCTGTTTACCTTCCCGCCAGAGTGGTACCTATTTATCTACTTGCACTTTGACGTGCTTTCGAACTGCTAGGTTGGCAGGAGCAGGGACCGAGCAACGGGAGCTCACCCCGTCGCGGGGATTCGAACCGCCAACCTTCTGATCGGCAAGTCCCAGGCTCTGTGGTTTAACCCACAGCGCCACCCGCATCCCTCCAGCAACAGGTACTCAAGAGGAAATCCTGAGAAATGGTCTGGCTTAGCATAAGGCAGTTTGCTATGTCCTACATCAGCCTTCTCTAAGGGAAGACTTAAGAACATAAGAGGAGCCTTGCAGGATCAGACCAGAGGCCCATCTAGTCCAGCGTCGTGTTCTCACAGTGGCCAAACGGATGCCTATGGGAAGCTGAAAAGTAGGACCTGAGCAATTGACGTTCAGAGCACACTGCCTCCAATGGTGGGGACTGCGCACAGAATTTCTCTCAATTCACTTAGGGAAGGAATGGCTAACCTTTTTCCGTCTGAGGGCAAGAGTGACCCACCCTTGCACTTCTTAATGTGGCCCTGGGGAGTGTCCCCCTTTTCCTCCAAATATGAAAAAGAAGGGCAGGTTTCCCTTCAGAGCCAACAATGTGCTCATCGCCGGCAAGCACATTTGCAACCCAAGGTGTCACAGCTATCGCAAGATAGGGATGGCGCTGAAACAAAAGTGTCCACCTACTCTAAACCTACAATCTAATGAAATCCAGACGTCAACACAATGGCTTTTGTTTTCTTTTTAACTGAAGGGCAGCAATTCTTTGCAAAATTAAAAAAAAAACAGCGTGCCAAACGGAATGAAAAACTAACAGTCAACACTTGCTCATAACGCAGCCATTCTCCGCACTAGCAGAGGATTGTTAATACTAAGCAAGCAAAGCCTCTGGTGACAGTTTGCATCAATCCCTTCGTAGCAGGACTGGCCACCAAACCGTATCGCAGATGGTCAAGGACGATTTCCCAAAGTGGCTGCCCACAAAACAGACCTGACACCTTTCATCAGCTCCCTTTGTAAGCAGGCGTTAGCCAGGGGAGCATCTAACACTTTGTTAAAGGTTTCTGCCTGGGAGTTAGATTAGATATGCAAGAATAACACAGACCCATGAACATGTCTAGCTGTTCTACATTTTTTTTCAAAAATAAAATCCAATTATGTCTCCTGGAGTTAATGTGCAGGTTACATTCTTGGACGAGGGCTACATTCACACCATACATTTAAAGCACTGTGACACCAATTTAAATACCCATGGCTTCCCCACCAAAGAATTATGGGAAGTGTAGTTTGTTAAGGGTGCTGAGAGTGGTGCTGTGGTCTAAACCAGTGTTCCCCAACCTTGGGCCTCCAGCTGTTTTTGGACTACAATTCCCATCATCCTTGACCACTGGTCTTGCTAGCGAGGGATGATGGGAGTTGTAGTCCAAAAACAGCTGGAGGCCCAAGGTTGGGGAACACTGGTCTAAACCACTGAGCCTCTTGGGCCTGCCGATCAGAAGGTCGACGGTTCAAATCCCCATGATGGAGTGAGCTCCCCTTGCTCTGTCCCAGCTCCTGCCAACCTAGCAGTTCAAAAACATGCCAGTGCAAGTAGATAAATAGGTACCCCTGCAGCGGGAAGGTAAATGGTGTTTCTGTGCACTCTGGTTTCCGTCACACTGTTCCATTGCACCAGAAGCGTTTTAGTCATGCTGGCTGCATGACCCGGAAAGCTGTCTGTGGACCGGAAAGCTGCATGACCTGAAAAGTGAGATAAGAACCACACCCGATAGTCGCCTTTGACTGAACTTAACCATCCAGGTGTCCTTTACAGGGAGCTACGAATTGTAGCTTTGTGAGGTTTAACAAGGTTTGCTGATTTTATCTGTGTTTTATTCATAGAATCTTAATACTAGCAAACTCACACCAATCGCTCGGGAATTCTAAAAGATCACACACACACACACACACACACACACACACACACACACCAGTGCCATTTTGAAATCAGGGATTAACATTTGTGCTGTTTTGAAAACCTCAGTTCGCCATCTTGATTCAAAATGGGATCCAATTGCATCCAAACAGACGAAAACTTGTCCTTTCATCTCAGGAGCCATCATGCAAATGCATGGTGAACAAACAACATTCCAAAATATATAGTACATTATTTTATTATGTACACCACTTAAGAGAGATTTTTCTGATTAAGCAGACTATTCCTTTTTCTAAACCAATGAAGTAAAATAAAGTAACTATAGACCAGTGGCATTGGCATGGGAAAATTACCACCCACCAACCCCATGGCTCTTGCTTATTTATACAGGTTACAAAAATGGTATGAGCTTTAAAAAGAGGCAGCCTCCAATTGCAAACTTACAACCCAAAGGATATACTTCCCCCTGTCCTGCTCCACATGGAAAGATGCCAGGAAAAATGCGCAAATCATATGGGAAAAGGCGAAGAAAGGAGTCTTTTAAAAAAATCATCTTCCGGGTAATGATGGATGAAATAAGACAGATCTCCAGGGTTGCAGGGTGGGGTGGAGGATGGGGGAGAATAAGCTTGGCAGCCACGCCGGTGTAATCACGTGAGCTAATACCAAGACCCCTAATCTTTATTCGCTGGACTTGTAACTGGAGAGATCTGGGCCCAAACTCACACTCATGAACTTCGCTGGCTCGCCTTTCCTCAGCCACTCTCTCTCATACGAATCTGCCTCTCAGGGTTGTTATCAGCATAAGAACATAGGAAGCTAGATGATACCATTAGCCCACTGAGACCAGTCTTGTATGCTCTGACTGGCAACCGCTCTCCAGATGTTCAGACACACAGTGGCGTAGCGTGGGTTGTCAGCACCCTGGGCAAGGCAAGTAATTTGCGCCCCTACCAGGTAGGGGCAGAGAGCTGTGAGTGCGAGCGCGCCCCCTCCAGATGTTGCGCCCGGTGTGGCCGGGCCCCCCCCGCACCCCCACGCTACGCCACTGCAGACACATTCCCCGTATTGTCTGCTACCTGGGGATTGACCTTGAGAACTTCTAGTTGCAAAGCAGATATTCTGTCGCTGTGGCGGAATGATCTCCACGTCATCCTGAGTTCCTTGCAACCAGCTATGTAAACTAAGGAACCTGCGGCTCTCCAGACTCCCCCCCCCCACCATCCCAAATCAATATGGCCAATGATCAGGGATGATGGGAGCTGTTTGTGCAGCAACACAGCTTGCCTGGCCCTGATGCAAACCCTTCCATCACCCAGCCCCAATTTTTTGTCTTTGCACATTTACCCAGAGAACAACACCT